CACGTTTCCTTCTCCTGTCCTTATATTACATCATAATGTATTTTCTTAATATTCAGTATTTGTATTTTCATGACTAAAATATTGTTCACAGCTAAACATCTGCAGTGATTTTATATCTTTACCAGATCAAATTTTTGTTGTCTATAGAGTTAATAATTTTTGTTTGTTTTTGTTTTTTGTTTTTACGTTTCTCGGTAGCAATCACAAACTCAGCCTCCAAATTTTTGACGGGACTATGAAATTCCTCTGAGGGAGGTAGTCCATTAGGTGATGGGTTTCTTGTAGAAATGCATTAGGGACAGACTTCACAGCCGTTGTCCTGAAACTCCCTTTCACCACCACCCTGAAATCCCTGCATTTCTCACTTGGGTTGAATTCCTCATTTCCTAGATTGGAGGTCTTCCTCTCTTGGGGTGCTTCCTCATTTTGGTGGGCCACATTCTTCAGTAGCTTTTTGAGAAAGGGTTCACGGGAGGTAAATTCTTTGAGACCTTACGTGTCTGAAAATTTCTGTGTTCTAGCCTCATATTTAATTGATAGTTTGACTGGTTATAGAATGCTACAACAGACATAATTTTCTTTTAGAATTTTAAATTACTACTTCTGAGAAGTTACTTTTTTGAGACGTTCCAACCTTTTTTTTTTTTAACTCCTGTGTTTCTCCCTCCCCCACCCCCCCATTTTTTTTTAAACACGTTTCATTTGTCTCTGGTCTCGTAAACATCTTGATGAAGTGCCTTCATGCGTGATTTATGGTCTCAGCCCTCATGCCAGACCTGGTCAGGGAGTGACCGGAACATCTGGGAAGTTAGGCTTCACAGTAAACCCTGAGCAATGTCATGGGCTTGTTTTGTGCACTCGCACCTGGCTAGCATTAAGCAGGTATGTCACCAAGGTCTCTGGGGCTCAGAAGAGCATAAAAACTCCCGGGGAATGTAGGGGGTGTGTCTCAGGCCTGGGGAAGCCCTCACTCCCCATAAGCAGAATCATCTATGGCTTTGTGTCATTATGGCCAGTTTGGGAGGGGCAGCCCTTGGCTTGTTGTACCTCTGGTTGAAAGCCTGGTGTGTTTCCTGCTTTGTGTAGCCATACCCACATGGCAATTTCTGAACCCTTTGCCATCAAAGAAACTGTGTATGTAGCCTTTGACTTTATCCGCTGGCATGCATCTTTGCATCCTGACTGCGTTTGATGGTGCCCACAGCGGGGCAGGTGCCTCCTCATCCTTTAAGCGGGGCACTTGGTGGGAGCTTTCAGTTTGGAAAATCATGTCTTTGATTCTGGGAAATTTTCTTGGATGATTATTTGACAGTACCCCTGCCTCCTTTTTTTTTTTCTGTTCGTGTACTCCAAAATGCCTATGAATGAGATATTGGGACGCTTTTGGATTGATCGCTGGTTTTCATGTTTTTCCATGGCCAATCTCTTTATCCCATTGTTTGATTTATTGGGAGATTTACTTTCCACTTTCTCAGCGTTTCTATAGAAATTTCTCAATTTTGCTATCATGTTTTAATTTCTAAGAGCTTTTTCTCATTCTTGGATGTTCTTTTTTTATTAGCCTCCTGTTGTCATTGCATGGATACAATATTTTTTCTTACTCTGGTAATATTAATTATAGTTGTTAGGGAACTAATTCTTTGCATTGTGCCTGTTTCCTCCAGAAAAAGTTTTCTCTATTTTAATCTCTGTTTTTCACGTTAGGCTCTTCTCAAATGTCTCTATTTGATGGCCGTTTGTTTAAGAGTGAGACACTAAAAACCGATTGGAAGTGCTTTGTTCATGAGCTGGACTAACTGTACTTTCCACAAATAACACACCCACACGTACAACGTGCATAGCGTGCCTAGGAAAATAATGCATGAGGGGGTTGTGTGCTTGTCAAAAAAGTATAATACACGTTTTATTTGTGTAAAAATACAATAAGCGCCTGCACCTTCAGGGCAGGGTGGTCAGTGTTGTTAGGTGCCATTGAGTGGCTTCTGACCCGACTCATAGGGACCCTGCGTACAACAGAATGAAACACTGCCTGGTCCTGCGCCATCCTCACATTTGTTGCCATGTTTGAGCCCATTGTGACAGCCACTGTGTCAGTCCCATCTCATTGAGGGTCATCCTCCTTTTCGCCATCCCTCTACTTTACCAATTATCATATCCTTCTCCAGGGTCAGGTAATAATGGTAATTTCCTCAAAGAAGAATCTGCTCAGTAACATTTGAGGTAACAATGTTCTGGGAGCTAAGGGATGAGGGAGGAGGGTACTTCTGATGCCTGAGCCTTGAGTAAATCCTTGAGTAACAGTATTCAGCTTGCTTCCGGTTGGTAATATTTCCTGTTTCAGTGGTATCTCATCTGCTAAGTCAGTTGTCAGTCCTCCATCCATTATTTTTCTTTAACAAAAACTTTTTTAAGTCTGTTTAGATTTAAAGAAAATTTGAGACAGTAGTATAGAGAGTTCTCATATAGCTCATACCTAGTTTCCCCTGTTTAATCATCTTGCATTAGTATGATCCTGGGTGGTGCAAACAGTTAAGTGCTCAACTGCTAGCCAAAAGGTTGGTGGTTCAGACCCACCGAGAGTCACCTTGAAAGACAGGCCTGGCGCTCTGCTTCCAAAAGTTCTGCTCTGCACACGTGGGGTTGCCATGTGTCAGAATAGACTTGACAGACAGCAGCTAAGAACAACAGTGAACCAATAGGAATGCATTATTATTAATTAAAGCCCATAGTTTGTTTAGTTTTTATCTAATGTCATTTTTCTGTTCCAGGATACCACATTCCTTTTAATTGTCATGTCTCTTTAGGCTCCTCTCATTCGTGACAGTTTCTAGGACTTCGCTTGTTTTTGATGATCTTGCCAGTGTTAAGGAGTACTGGCTAGGTATTTTATAGAATGGCCCACTATTGGAATTTGTTTGTTTTCCTCATGATCAGACTGGGGTTATGGGTTATTGGAGGAAAACCACAGAGATAAAGTGTCATTTTTATCACATCATATTATGTGTACGTACTGTCAACATGATTTGACTCATAACGTTGGCCTTGAGACTGAGGCTTAGGTAATGTTTCTATACTGTAAAGTTACTCTTTTTCTCTCTTTCCATACTCTATACTTTCGAAGTCACTATGCGCAGCCCCAACCTAAGGAGTAGGGCGTTAGGCTCCCCTCTGTGAGGTGGAACATTATACAAATTATTTGAAATTCTTTATTGGAGATTTGTGTCTTCTCTTCCATTTATTGATTTACTCAGTCATTTACATCAGCACTGAGCAATGGATATTTATTTTATACATTGAGTTATAAGCCAGTGTTACTTTATTATGTTGATCAGATTGTTCCAGCTGAGGTCATCGGGACCTGTCAGTTGGCTCCATTCTCTGAAGCTACCCCTTTTGTATTTCTTTTCTTTTTTTACTGTTTAGTGAGCTTCAACAGGGAGTGGAGATAAAGTGTGTGACATCCTCTGTGTTTGACAGGATGTTTAATCATAGTCATATTTTAAAAGATGTATTTCATTACATCTGTCTTCACTGAAGATCAGAAAGCAACTCTCAGGAAGTAATTTCTAGATTACAACTGGAGGTTGTTGTTCAGACTTACGTGACTGCTAAAATTTCTGCTGGTTTCCTGGATGTTTAGCAACTTAATACATGAGTCATCTCATTTTCTACTTTTGCTTTATTTCTAAAGTAGTTTGAAGGTTGGCAGAAAGACTAATGAAGAACAGCAGCAGTCTTGTGAGAAAGTATATCCAGAGTGTGTCACAGCACGGCTGCCTGGACGTAATCAGCCAGGTTCTGATGTCTGTCCCCCATGTTAATTATTTCTGTATGCGTTAGATAGTTCTGTCTTTTTCAGATGTGAGCCCACCTGGAGTGTTTTTTAAGTTCTATCATATGCATCTTCCTGGTTTTGGCTCCCCAGTCACTTTATCTAAAGAAGCCCCCTCCTCTCCTGCCCTTCCTCTTACTTTCTGACAGAATGACCCTGTTCTGTTTCCTTTGTAGTCGTTACCACAGTCTGAAATCTTAATAGTTGTTTTGTTACCTGTCAAGGCCCCCCTCCATTAGAATGTCAGCATGGAGGGCAAGTGCCTTGCCAGCATGTTTGCTGCGTGATCCCCAGCGCTTGGAGCTGGGCCTTGGACATCCAAAGAGACACTGTTGTTGAGTGGATCCATGAGTGAAACAGGCTTTATTTCCCTTTGTCCCAAATGTTGCTTCACCAACTTGCTGGTGCTCTTGGAAGTCCTGTCCTCCTTGTAGATGTAAGTGTTTGCAAGTCAGCTTGTGAAGCTGCATTAAAAAATAGGCCTTAGCCCAAATTGGATGTGATAAATGGTGCTGTCAGCAGCAGAAAGGGAAAAGAAAGGTCCCCTTCCTAACATTTCTGAAAATTATACTGGGATCCCAGTGCATACTGTGCTGACTAAAGCAGGGCGGGACATTCGAGCTGTGTGTTAATTAGCTTTGGTGGATGGCACTCACCCATGTCTACAGCTTCTCTTCCTGTTTCCCAGGAGCCTCTGCAGACACAAGATGCCAGGGCTGTGCAGGAACTCAGATCCCTGCTTCTCGGACTCACGGTCTTTGTTTGCTATTTAACTGAGATAAATAGACCCCAGGCGTAAGAGTAAGAGGTGGTGAATTTGCACTTCCTGCTCTAACAGACTTCCCTTTGGGAAACTGGGGGCCTGCATTCCTGAGAGTTGAATGCAAGAGATTGGAGGTGTTTGAAAAACTGAGTGCGTGTCATGGGGCTGAGGAATTCTCCTGGTCACTTTCATGACATGAGATAAGTAAGCTAGCTGATGAACTGTTGCTTGTTTGTTTGTTCTTACCCTTTTTTCTTCCTTTTCTCTGATTACTGTGCTGCAAATAATCAGGCAGCTAACTGCAGAGGTGCAATTGTGGAAGCCCCCCCCCCCCCCGTGCAGGTGTCAGTAAACAATGATTGATGGAGTTTGTGAGATTGATAAGGCTGTTTATGCAGCAGAAGTCGCCTTTTCATTAGAATTGTGGCACTGTTTTGATTTCATTGTGTCATACTGGAGGCCTGCGGGCCTTGACATTCTGATATCCCAAAGGGGGCTGCTGTAGCTTTGACCTCATTTGTTCCTTTGGCTTTCAGTTAGGTTTAGAAAATTACAGATCTCCAAAAATACAGTGTCCATATGTGTGAAGTGTGGAGTCTGGCACCTCCTAGCAAAAGTTTACAGTTAACTTTGGAGTTGATAGTAGGTTTAGAGATCTTGGTCCTCACGGAAAGGTCTTTGTGATGCTTTCTGTGTGTGAGGGTTTGAAGAGAGTGTGTGGGGGGGGGGTTGTTCTGGGATATATGTATATGGTATTCTCTAGATGGAGAAAGAGACAGAGACAGACAGAGACACTGCCTTGGGATCTGAGCAACTAGTTATTTCCTGCAGCCTCACAGTGCCTTGTGGAATAGGGGTGATGGATGATGATAATCGATGGGCATTATTCATGATGAAAACTATTGCAGTTTAAATAACAGATCCACTATTGTATTAAGTCTAAAGTTTACCCATAAGATCTAATTACCTAAAGTTCTTCAGTTTTGCTCTCCTTTATACATGGTTAATAAGGAAACTGCTGGAGAAAGATGTGGCAGTCTGCTTCTGTAAAGATTTACAGCCTTGGAAACCCTATGGGACAGTTCTGTGCTTTCCTGCGGGGTTGCTATGAGTCAGAATCGACTCGACAGCAATGGCTTTGGTTTTGGTAATAAGGAAACTCTTGGTGCTCATATGAAAGTGTAATAAAACTGGAATGAATATTTCTATTTAAAAACACTTAGCAGGAATCCACACATTTCAGTGATGTCATTCTGGAAAACATTTTATCCATCACTTTTTAAAATTGCTTTCAGAATCTTGAAATATATCATTTTATGCTCAATAGTGGAAGATCTTTACCCTTCAAGGTAGATTAGGTTTTTTGGAAATAGCCAGAAGTCATTCAAAGCAACATCTGGTGAATCATGCATCTCTGACAGAGATTAATCATAGCTACTTTTGGACTACAAGAGGTATGACCATATAATAATGATGTTGATTTTTATCCTGTGTAGCTCCTGACTTCAATTTAAAGGCAGTTCTTTCAGAAAGAAAGAGGAGCACTGATAACATGCTGGACAGTGACATATCAATGGAATCAATTTGTTATAGCCTTCAGAGGTCATTGATTTGAAAGACAGTATTCATATTAAATAGAGCCAGGCAGAGTAAAGATATTACCAGAACCTAGAGAGAGGGACATACTGTGGAGAGGGGTGTCTTGTCTGCCTCATAGAGGCCAGTGTGGTTTGGGCTCAGCATTAGGGTGCAGGTCTGGAAGCAACTGGGTCCAGTAGTTTTTACCTTAAGACCATTTCATACATCCCAAGGGTTCTTCTGACGCATTTTAGTCTTATTTTGGCTATTTGGGGCTGCAGTGTGAGTTAGATGCATACTGTTTGGACGGATAGGCTGAAGGGTTGGCTTCAGTTGGATGAGCCTCGGGGAGTTGGGGATATGGTTTGGGAAGCTAAACAAAGAGATAAAAAGAACAGTTGATTGAAGTGGGAATTAGATCATAAGTTGTTTATTTTTTTCCTCTCTCTCTTACTAGTAGTACCTTTATGGCAGGGATGCTGTTGTAATCATCTTTCTGTACAGCTTACGTATATTCAGCAGCCATTTATTAGGCACCTATTGTGGTATAGGTCTTAGAGGTATTCAGTATTTTTTTAATGAGAAGAAGGAAGAGAACTAAATATTGATTTCAGCAGTTAGTAGTTTCTAGGTGTTACCTCTTTGCATCCTTTCAACTATCCTGCATGATAGGTATTATGACCCCTGCTCTATAGAAGAGGAAACTGAAGCTCAGAAAGGCTAAGTGTTCAAAGGTATATTGTAAACGGTAGAGCTATAATTTAAAACTAGTTCTGTCTAGATTCAGAGCTCATGCTATGTGCCTGGCTAGTCCGCTCTTAACATTTTTGGGGGCCCAGAGCACATGTATAAACACAAAGCCACGTACCATCTGTCTAAACCTGTGGATCTCAACCAGGGGTGATTTTACTCCCAGGGAACATTCAGCTGTGACTGGAGATGTTTTTGGTTGTCACAACTAGGGAGAGTGTTATTGGCATCTAGTAGTTGGAGGCCAGGGGTGCTGCTAAACATCCTGCCATGCACAGGACAGCCCACCCCACCCTCCGACCCCCAAAGAATTTGTGATTGTTGTTAGTTGATATAGAGGCAGCTCTAACTCACGATGACCTTATGTATAACAGAGCAAAATGTTGCCCAGTCTTGCATCATCTTCATGATCATTGGTATGTTTGAGTCCATTGTTGTGTCTGTTGTGTGTCAATCTGTCTAACAGAGAATTATCTGACCCAAAATATCAGTCATGCCAAGGCTGAGAAACCGCGTCTAAACTTATAGAAAGCTGTAAATCACATTACCCCAGGGCCTGGCTTCGATGCCTACTCTGTCCTTTCTGGGGCAGGCCTGTCCTTTGAGGCTGAGTGCTAGCACAGATCTGCTGGGGTGGCAGGGTGCTCATCTGGGGACAGTTTGACTTGTACTTCCCTCCTCTTCCTGTAGGGAAATTAATTACTTTCAAATAAACTTTTCTTAGGTGAGTGAAAAGAAAAACAAAAACTGTCTTCATGTTTCAGGTTTGTGATATGCAGGGCCTAAGCCGGGGCTCCTCTTCCCCAGAGCTAAAGGCGGTACTGGTGCCTTACATAAAGTAAGCACTGGAAAAATGCTTGTTAAATGAACACCATCCTTGCTAAATGAATCCTCTACTATTGCATTTTAAGGGCTGCTGTTATAAAGATGTCCCAGGACTGGGCAACATTTTGTTCTGTCATACATAAGATCACAATGAGTCTCTGAGCCAATTTGATGACAGGTAACAACATTATATGGTGTAAGGCTAGATTGATCATGTTTTAACTACTTTGGGAAGTAATTTAGTTTTTTCAGTACTGGCATGTTCTTGGAGCCCTGGTGGCACAGTGGTTAAGAGCTTGACTGCTAACCCAAAGTTCGGCAGTTCGAACTCACCAGCTGCTCCTTGGAAACCCTATGGGGCAGTTCTGCTCTGTCCTGTAGAGTCGCTATGAGTCGGAATCAACTCAACAAAAAATGGGTTTGGTTTTTGTTTGGCATGTTCTCATCTTTCAGATAAACAGTTTGGATTACAATCAGGAGTTCTTTACTTGGGGTCCCAAGTAAACCAGCCATACAGGTTTCTGCAGATCCTCAAACCTCCAGAATTGGTTGTGTGGGTGTACACATATGCATCTGGCATGTGCATTTTCTGGGAAGAAGCTATATTCCAGAGCTTAATTGGGTTCTCAGAAATGAGAATGACACAACTACAGTTGGACTGTATATCCCTAAGGTTGCTTCTAGATCTGCTTAGAAGCTTACTTTAGGAATTTGAATTGAGATCAGAAGTGAATTTGTTTCGGTCAAATGTAATTGTTTTGACTCAAGGAGGAAGCTCTCTGCTGTACGTAAGTGTTATGTTGTGCATCCATAAAATGAAATTTGCACGTATTTTTTTGTTGAAGGGTCATTGCTGTGGGATCACCATACTCATGGTGAGAACTAGATTCCAGGAAGTACTTAATTGTTTTTTTTTTAATAGAAGTGAGCACTCAAAAACTTTAGCTTAGGCAGTGTCAGATTATTTTTACCTAGAAGGGAACATAGAAATTATCTAGAAATTCTGATCTCCTCTCTTCATTTATTAGATTAGAAAATTGAGGCCTAGTAATACTCAGTGATTTCCTCAAATGACCTACCAAGTTTGTAACAGTATAGGAATAGAATATGGTGATTTAAAGCAAAGAATGAATATAGTCTTATTTCTAGCTTTGGGCCGTATTGATATTGCTTCAGGTTTCAATTAGGGTTTCATTGCATAGTATTTGAGATTTTTTAAATACTCAGCAGATTAAATTTGAATTCCAATTTAAGTAATCAGTCCTAGAAGACACCATGGAAGACATCTTGAGCTTTGAAGCCAAATAGACTGGGTTTGAATTCCTGGCTTTAGCATTTTTAAAAACTAGCTGGTGACCTTGGAAATAACACATAACCTCTCTGAGCCTCTTATTTCTTGGTCTGTAAAATGCAGGGATAATGCAAACCTGTCTTTTGAGGAAGTTGTGTAGATCAGAGCTAATACATGCAAAAGACCAGCTCCAGGGTGTGACTCAGAGTAGCTACTAGAGAAAGAATGCCAGGCTGCTAGTATTGTGTTTTCTTGTGTGGTGTAAATTACAAATACTTACATAGATGTGGTTTACCATACAATTTCTCATGAACATTTGCCTTAAATTACCTTTGTTTACTTATTCCTTTAAAACTTAGGTAAAATTAATTTGTTGCAAAAGGTAATGATGTTTCTACAAACTAAATATCCTTTTCCTCAGAGACCTTTTTATAAAGTTTGTTGAACCTGGAAGAAAAACGAAGTAAAATGTCACTTGAGAAGGACTTGTTTGTGTTTGAGTGGTGCTGTGTCTTTAGAAGAGGGAAACAGTTGGAATGTTGCTGCTTTCAAATGCCTTTTTGCTTCCTTGGAATCCTTTGTGGGCCCTGACATCACAAGGCTAAATCTGAGACATTACTAGCATTTAACCTCTAAGAGTAGTAGCAAGGCTGCCTTTAACTTTTCCCTTTTTTGTTTACTACTAAGTGAATTACTTGAGGTTTTCCCCTTACGGGAGAATGCAGCTCCTCCTACTAGGATGGAATGCCATTTGCGTGCGCGTGTGCGTGCGCGCGCGTCCGTGCGTGTGTGTGATATAACTATGGTATGTGTAAGTCTGGGTACCAAACCAAACTTGTTGCCATCAAGTTGATTCCAACTCATAGCAACCCTTACAGGACAGAGTAGAACTGCCCCACAGGGTTTCCAAGGAGTGGCTGGTGATAATGTAACTATGGTATGTATAAATTTGGGTACTAGTGCTATAATTTTTCTCTTTTTCTTACACGTCTTAGGGAAACTTTAAATTGAAGTAAGCAGATTCAACTTCGAAAAGGAAATCTAAGAATTCTGATTGTTTTAATTTAAATTTTCCCAGTTAAATCCTTACCAGGTGATAGACTTAATTGTGGCAGTAGAATTTTCTAAACTTTGTGAAAGTAAGTTCTTTACATTATTGTTGTCATAGCAAAGTAATTTAGCCATTTTTGCTGCTCTTGTATTTCCTGATGAACGCAGATGGACCTGCAACCAGGAATAGGAAACAGTGCGCTTTCTGAGGAGGGGAGGCATTGCAGTGAGGATGCATTCAGGGGTTGAGAAGCATGGAGGTTTGAAAAGTAACAGGAACTGGGAAAGTGAGCTAACCACAGAAACAAAAGCAGGGCTGCCAGGTGCTGTTGCCGGGCCTCTTATGATAGCAGCTCACTAATAGAGATGGAAGAAGGGGGCAGAAAGGAGAGTACCAGCTATTTAAAAATGTTTTTAAAATAAAAGTATTGTAAGTCATTGTTTGAAAGAGGTGAAACCACAGTAACAAGCTAATCACAGCCACCATCACCAGTTTTTCAAGTGGTCCGGAAAATCTTTCGTTAGAAATGTGTGGAGACATGTGTGGAGACATACTGTGGAAGGAAATTCCTAAGAGTCAAGGAATGTGAGAGCTTGCAGTTCAAGTCCCTCTCTGGTGCCGACCTCATAATTTGTGATACTTGTCACTGTTCTTTTCTTCGGATTGTGTGAAGGTTATAATCCACTCCTGATCACCATCATTTATTCTTTGTTGTAGTTTTCTTTGGCAAGTTTTAAACCATCATGACTTATGCTTGCTGGAGCTTGTCTGACTTTGGAGTTGAGAAGCCCAGCACCGCTTTCTGAGTGCCTGCACTTGGTGTCCGTCAGTGCCCCGTGCACCTGGTGTGCCCCTCTTAGTTGTGAATTTAGGACAAATAGTTTTTTTTCTGAAAAGAATTAATGCATCACAATTTTTAAATTATTTGCTATTTTAAAACTTGACAGTAATATGATTTACATTTCAACCGATGTGTGAGTGAAATGGTGTGACATACAGAAAATTGCTTATATACTTATGGTGTCACCCTTGAGTGTCACCCTAGAGGCGGGGACATTGCATACTCCTAGTCAGAGACTGAAATGAGAGAAGAAAAAGATACACATGTGAACAGTTATGTGATTAAGACACCCCACCCCTACTTCCTGAGTCTGGGAAAGCGCTGGGAGCCCGGCTTAGCTCCCCCCGGGGGTGTTGCCCACCCCCTTGCCAGAGCTAGTAGGGCAGAGGGCTTCCTGCTTGTTTGGGCTTCATTTTGTTGGAAATGTCCAGCATTTGTGTCACAAGTCAGGCTGATTCCTCTCATCCTTAATTGGGCTGTTTAGCTTCACTCTCTTAATTGATTCAGCAGATACACTTGACTGCTGTAGCTGGGCCACTCAGTATTGTCTCTCTGGTCTTAGAATATACTGGGTGAAAACTTGACATAGAACCTTAGTGCTGGAGGGGTTAAACCTCAGATGTCATTTAGTCCCAAGCCTCTTAAACCAGGATGTGTACACTGAAGATAGTCTAGACCATAAGGTTATTGTGATTCATTAACCCTTGAAGTTGATAGTAGAAAATTTTGACCAGTTAGTACTTTTTTCACATTAAAAAATGGAGTAGAATACAAAATGTGTTGAATTTTAAAGACAAAAGATAAGTCTTCAAAGAAGTTTATCTTTGGGAGAGCTATTGAAGCTGGGCCGTCTGACCTCAGGGCAGTTCTGCTCTGTCCTGTAGGGTCGCTGTGAGTCGGAATCACCCAAAGGCAGCGGGTTTGGTTTTTGATCTGACCTCAGGAGAACGTTTCTGTTTTTTCTCCTTTGCTCCTAGCTCAAATGGATTAGCCAGTAGCTGTCCTGTATTGGGATTGTGTGAAGATATTATGAAACACTGGAATCTGAATAAACTATATAGCCATTATCCAGTAAGTGCTTAAACTACAAAAGTTTGAGAAACCTCAGTAGTAGCAAGAGGAACTCCTCTTAAAGAAAAATATCAGTCCTTTTTGGGTTGTTTTTAGAGCTAACAGTGAATTATAAGTAATGTTAGATATGGGAAGAAACGTCTTACGCATTAATGTAGATGATAAGAGCGCCATCTGGCTTGAAATTAAAAGGGACTCTGTTTCCTGTGGGTGGTGGCCCTTTGGAGTGTGGGGCCCTTTGCCGTGAGTAGCCTTGAGAATGCAGAAATGCACTTCACTGTAGAATAATTGTGATGGAGATTATGAAATTCTTTGTAATTAAGGCTTTTTTAAAAAACCTTTTCATCATGATATTTTTACTCATCAAAACTTTTACAGCCTCATTGATAATCCAGGAGAAAATATGTTGCTGTTCCATAATATGGCCACTGGGGGTAGATGATTTTCATGTTTTGTGGTAAAATCAGGACATAGCTTGTGGGATCAGGCTGCCAGTGAAAAGGTTGGCAGTTTGAATCTACCAGCTGCTCCTTGGAAACCTTATGGGGCAGTTCTGCTCTGTCCTGTAGGGTCACTATGAGTTGGAATCGACTTGATGGCGGTGAGTTTTATTGAACCAGTTTAGCACAACTTCAAATAGGCAAATTTCAGGTTGGAAAGTTTTAAACACATCCTTACTCCTTTTTGAAAAGCCTTTTTACACCTAGTCTCATATATTTATGGGATTGTTGTTAGTTGCTGTCAAGTAGATTCTGACTCATGGTGACTCCATGTCTGCAGAGTAGAATTGCTCCATAGGATTTTCAGAAGCAGATCACTAGGCCTGTCTTCCAGGGAGCCTCTGGGTGGGTTTGAACTGCCAGCCTTTTGGCTTAGTAGTCAGTGGTTAACTGTTTCCACCACCCAGGGACTACTTATGGGATTGGGGCGGGGGGTACAAATTAAGAAGGTATATATTTTACTTAGCGTCACTACCAACTGTGGAATCTGGACAAGATTCTGACTTTCTAGACTAACATTTTAGCTTTGTTTCCCTAAGCTAGACTTCTTTAAAGATTTAAGTTTTGGAAAAAAAGACTTTCGACTTCCACCCACTTTTTTTTTTTTTTTGAGATCATTGCAGATGGTATGCAGAATGAAAAGTAGTTTTTCCTCACTGTTCAGCCATTTATTTTTATCTTAGCCTGTAGAGAAAAAGTTTGACAATATAGTGGCATTCTTCTTTGAAAACTTAGATGATTAAGAATCGCTGGTTGTGATTTTAAATTTTATTGACCAAGACAGAAAAACACGCCACAGGTGGTGGCCTGGAACCCGAACACCAGGTACCAGCCTCAGGGTCAGGGGAGTCCGCAGGTCACTGCAGGAGGAAGCTGTAGGAATATGCCCAGTGGTGAAATAGATGTTTCAAAGATGATCTCACTTCTGTCTGGGTCCGTGGTGAGTGTTCGCTTGCAATCAGGACATTCTGTGAGTCATCCTTCAAAACAGTGAAACAATACCAAGACTTATCAGAAAACCAGAAAGGCTGGCACGGGGCTGCTGTTACATAAGAGGTGTATTGGTGGTGAACATTGCCCGAGCAGAGTTCCTACCCACTGCCCTCCTGTATCTCCACCACTCCTGTCCTCCCACTTCTCATCAGCCTCCAGCCCTCTGTCCCTAGCATCTTCTCTGTGGTGTCAGCATGAGCGCCAGGTTGGCACAGTGAGAAAAACACTGAAGCGGAAATTAGGAGACTTGTTCCAGCACCTTTGCTAAGTGGGTGATGACCTTGGGTTAATTGCCTGACCTCTTTCTGTGCTTCAGTTTCTCACAATTAAAGTGGATAAGATTTTTCTCCTTTTCCTCTCTTCCATCCACCCTCCTACTAATAGTTTTTCCCCGTCTGTCATTCCACTTGCACATTTTCTTATCTTCTATATTTTAATTCCTCTACCCTTCTAAGTTTTCCAACTTTTTTCCTCTTCCTTGTCTTTTTCTGTTGTTGCTCTTTAATCTCCCTTTCTTGTCCTCGCCTGCTTGTCTCCCCTTACCTCTCTTTTCTCCTTTATTTCCCCACTGGCAGCACCCCCGTATAGATTTTTATTTCTGCCGTCTAATGTCAGGGATCCAGAACTGCTGCAGACCATGAAGGAAGAGATTTAAATTTTTAAACATTGTGTAAGACTTTGACCAAAAAAAATCACTTCTCTTTTGAAAGCAGGAATTTGTGACCATGGTGGAGATTGCGTTAGATTGCAAGGTCCTTGCGAGTTCTTCAGTATACTTCAGGCTCATGTTAGTACCTCGTTTGTTAGACAGCAAGCGCTGAAACATTGAATGCAAGATAATTTTTCCCACTTCTGATTTTGGTGAAATCTGTTTTTAATTCTGACGTTTCACATTTTTATTACACGGGCCTTGGTGGCATAACTACTGTTAAACATTACCAAACCTCCCTTACTCTGTCAAACATTTGGAAATTTTGTCTTTTTATGATATTTAGAGGTAGAGAAAAAAGTTTAATGATGTGAAGATCATTAAATACATGAGAATCAGCTAGTACGTTGCTGACGTATTGACGAAATACTTTTATGAAAAATTCTGGTGTCTTCACTTCTTCGCCAAGTAGAAGACAGACTGGCTGACTGTCCTTTTTTCTCCCTTGCTGTCAGTATTGTCTTTAGGGCCATAGAGCAGTGCTGCCCACATACGTAATTTTACATTTTCTAGTAGGCATATTAAAAAGGTAAAAAGAAACAGGCTAAATTAATTTTAATAATGTATGTTATTTAATTTAGTACATCTAAAATATTTCTACATGTAATCTATGTAAAAATAACATTCTTTTTTCACTCTGCATCTTTGAGTTCAAAATTAGCGCATTTCAGTTTGTACTAGCCACATTCAAATACCCTGCTCCACGTGGCTGATGGCTGTTTGCATTGAACAGCAGTCTTAGCTCCTGGCTTGGGTAAAATAGTATATTTTACTCAAAATCTTTTGTATTTTGTCCATCGTGTGTTAAGTATTCTAGGTTTTTGAAAAAGAAATCCATTGAAATTATTTGTTGACTTACTGAGGGCTGGCAAGGAAATACCAAGAATGTTTGAATTTTGTAGGGTTGTATTGTCATTCTCTTGACGTCAGATAAATTTTGTTCATTGTTTGCAATGCTGGACTGGACAGGACATCTCCCATCCAGAATTGTGAAAATATATTGGGTCATGGTGATATGACAAAGTAAAAATTTTAATGATGGAACTGGCTCTATAAAGCATATGTAACCTGGCTGACTTTGGGAGCTTGTTCATTGCTGCTCTCGAAATACATGTAAATTATTTCCCTTATGTGATCAATTTATATATGATTACTTTCCCATCAGTATAGGTGTTTTTATTTCTGAAAAGTAAGATGCGGTTGGTGTAGAGAATCATTAACCCAATCCCTGCCCCAAGTGAGGGACTCTCCAGTGGCTGTCATGTGATTGGGAGGACTCGGGACCTATCAGTGCACACACGCGGTGAGCTGGCCCGGTGCCCGCTTATCTCCTTCCGAGGGAAGGGGTTGAGGCGCTCTGAGCAAATCTTATTGGTAAAGTGGTGTATGTATTGCTGTTTTAAGAGCCATTTCCTTTCAGTTTTAACCATATCACTGTGTCTGCAGAGAGTTTGCACCAGTTTGTCAGCAGAGCAGCTTTCAGCTCTGATGGTTTACAAGTGTGTCTTCATCTCCGGAGAAAGGCGTGCTTGAGAGGCTGATTCAGTTTTAAGATGTTTTACTTTGAAGATGATAGTGCAGATGAGGAGGAGGAGGAGGTTCATGAAGGCTCTTTAAGTACAACTCAAGGTGTTTATCATGGAAAGGCCCCTTCTGGTATCCTGGTGAGTTACATCCACAGATACTCCCTTTCTTTTGCTCACTTGCTTAGTCTAGATAGAACTGAGAGAAGATGGGAGGACATCAAACGGAAGTGGCTAATGCCTTTTCTCTGGGAAATGGAAAGTCAGGGTGACTTTTACAAACTTTAAAATGTTACGTTCAACAGATACCTTTGGCTGCCTGTCCTCTCATTGTTTGTACACTATTATCTTTTTCTGTTTGTTGTTATTTAACTAGTAACTTTCTGTAGGGGGGGGAAAACATTTCTGCTTTAAACTGAGAATTTTTTTCAAACTAGTTTTCAAACAGTGTTTGGTTTCACATTCTCTTTGCACCTAAGTGCAGTAGTTGAAGAACTATTAAAAACATTTAAGCATTTTATATTTTTATTGCCCTAGCCAGTTTTTTTTAATGTAATAGAGAAGAGTGAGAGTGCAGTCTTTCTCTTCTGTGATTGCAGACAACAGCAACAGCTTGAAATATGTGAGGAAAATGAAGATAGTCTTTTTTTTTTAATCTAGAATTTTCTATGTTGTTACAAGGCATAAGATACCCATTGCCGTCGAGTGGATTCCGACTCAGCGACCTTACAGGACAGAGTAGAACTGCCCCATAAAGTTTCCAGGGAGCACCTGGTTTACTCAAACTGACAGAACAAGTTACGTAAATTAGTGTAAGTTCCAAAAGGCTGCGTTAAAGAAAATCAGGTACTTCAAGACAATGTAATGTCAGCTCCACCTATGGAACCTTTTTCTTTAAAAATAACCTGAAGTAAATGCTTGTTTTAAAGTTTTTTTTTGTTTTTGAATAGTTTGTTTTTATGAAACAAGCATAAAATCAACAAGATGATAAAATGAAACACTTTTAAAATCTGTGGTTCATAATCAGAGTTATTTTAGTTTCAAAGTTACTATAAAATTTTTATTGCCAGCTTTAGACTGTTATCACATTCTGTGTGCTTTTTTGTTTTTGGACTGGGTGGTAAAAGTGCACTTGCTCAGAGTTCTTAGGAACTGACGAAATGGACATTGTTTGAATGTGAGTGGAGGTCAGGTGCCACCAAGGAAGGCAATTTACTTTTGCAGTCGTCATTTTCATGTTAAAGAGTACGTATATAGGGTTCATACACATTTGTTAGAAAGGAATCTTAAATCTATTTAGTAAGTAGCTCTAACACACACAAACTACCCTCCACAGGAAGTTCTGCTTTTGGCTGCTGGTGTTTTCCAGAGGGAAGTCAACTGGTTTTTGATGAGGCTGCATTTTATTAACTGCTCTCTCTTTATGTTAATGTACAACATTGAAGTCCCATGAGTCACCCACATGCCCCAGTGAGAGATGTGAATTTTCTGAATAGCTGGAGTTTGGGATATTGGGTTTGGTATCTGCTTAATAAGCTCGAATGATTAGATAAGTTAGACTTTATAACCTGGGTGTGTGTTTGGCGAGGGCGGGGGGAAGAATCCTGGTTTTCATGGTCCAGGCCTTCATCAGTCTGTTCTGGACACCTTGTTGAAGGTAAAAGTTCTGTCTTGAAGGGCTCTTGCCTCTTGATTTTATGTGTTTGGAATATAAATATATAAAGGTTTTATGATTAAAAACCACGAGAAGATTTCTGTGCTTTGTTAGAAGTTGGGAATTTTAAAAATCTGTGTTTCCATATGTTTCTCAAATGAGTACTTAACTTATTTCATATTCAAATACCCTCAAGTTCCAAAATAATCTACTTTTCCTATTTTCCACCATTTATTTTGAATTATTTTGATTCTTTGTTTTAAATTAGCATAGATGGTACTGTAGGAGTTCTTAACCAAACTCATTGCCCAAAGAAATGCTTATAAAACTGGAGTTTTTCTGCAATTTAGAGCTGGAAGGGGCTCTAGAGGTCATCTGGCCTTTCCTATTACAGATGAGAACATGGTACACAGAGGTCACAGGACCTGTGCTGTCATCAGCCACAGATGACCCCAAGGCACCCAGAGGGCAGTGGTTCTCAGTCTGGTCCCTCTGAGCTCTTCATCAACGGTCATGCGCTTCTCTGTGCTTGAATCCAAAAACGCACTCTTTTCAGAAAATTTTGTGTATTTTTTATTTACAGAGTAAGATTTAATAACATAAACAGTGATAGGAGGTAGCAAGTCACACGTTAGGTTAGGTGTGTGACTTGAGGCAGAGTGCATTATACTAAGGAAATGCTGTGTCTCACCCAGGCTCCTGGTGGGAGTGCAGGGAGGGATGTGGAGAAGCCACGGACTTAGCAATTTGTCATTACACGTTGCTGCCTGAGGTTGTAGAAGAAGACTGGGTGAATGGGCCCAGAACCAACCACTGTCCTCCAGTCTAGCATAGGCAGTGTTCACAAACCTAATTAAATATTTAGTTGAATTTCATTTCCTCAAACAGTGTTTGAATGCGAATAGAGGTCAGGTGCAACCAAGAGAGGTTGTAATTAACCATAGAACTAAACTAACCTGAGTTCTGAGTGCTGGAACAGGAAGGGAAGAAGGGGCTAAGGGAAGAGTTTCTTCCTCACCTGGATGAGGGCCAGGTGTCACGAAGATGTTTGAAATAAACAACATTATCTGAGTTCCATTTTCAAAGTCACCTTTTAGCTCCCATTCTCCTAGCCAATTTTTTAGTATTGTTTGAAGCCCACTGATGGGCTTGAAAACGAAGCCTTTCCCTGACTTCCGTGGGCTTTAGGAGGAATGCCAGGTATCGTGCCCTTTGTCATTGAGCTGTGAATGAGTGATGGCCTCTTAATCCCTCCAGAAACCAGAAAACCAAACCTGTTGCTGTTGAGTCGATTCCAACTCATAGCAACCCTATAGGACAGAGTAGCACTGGCCCATAGGGTTTCCAAGGAGCGGCCAGTGGATACAAACCGCTGACCCTTTGGTTAGCAGCTGAGCTCTTTAACCACTGTGCCGCCAGCAGTACCTGCGTTTTAAATAGAGGATTCTGGTAAATTTGTAGTTGTGATTGGTAGGATCTCTATCTAGCCAAGGAACATTGTGAACTGAAAATGGGTTCAGTGGTAGAATTCTTGCCTTCCATGTGGGAGACCCAGGTTCCATTCCCGGCCAGTGCACCTCAAGCATAGCTATCACCTGTCTGTGGAGACTTGCGTGTTGCTGTGAGGCTGAGCAGATTTCACTGGAGCTTCCAGACTAAGATGGACTAGGAAGAAAGCCCTGGCTATCTCTTTCTGAAAAATCAGGCAGTAAAAACCCTATGGATCACAACGGTACGATCCCACTGGGCATGGGGTCGATATGAGTAAGGGACCAACTAGATGGTAACTAACAGCAACAACAAGGGGATACATGAAGGTGGGATAGCACAGGGTTGGGTATATTAGGCAGTTTTGGAGAATAAATTATCTTAAAATCTTTGTTTTCAAAGTTTGTTTGCATCTTTGTGTGTGTGTGTGTGTGTGTGCGTCTTTTAAATGAAAGTTTACAGATCGAGTTAGTTTTCATACAGAAATTCATACATGCTATGTGACTGTAATTGCTCTCCCCATACTGTGACAGCACACTCCTCCTCTCCACCCTGAATTTTCCATGTCCATTCAACCAGCTTTTGTCCCTTTCTGGGGGCCATGTCTTCCGGGGTCCCTCCAGTCTCAGTCAGACCATTAAGTCTGGTCTTTTTACTAGAATTGGAGTTCTGCACCCCACTTTTCTCCTGCTCCATCAGGGACTCTCTGTTGTATTCCCTGTCACGGCGGTCATTGGTAGTAACCGGGCGCCATCTAGTTCTTCTGGTCTCAGGCTGATGGAGCCTCTGGTTTATGTGGCCCTTTTGTCTCTTGGGCTAATATTTTACTTGTGTCTTTGGTGTTCTTCATTCTCCTTTGCTCCGGGTGGGTTGGGACCAATTGATGCATCTCAGATGGCCACTTGCTAGCTTTTAAGACCCCAGACGCCACTCACCAAAGTGGGATGCAGAACGTTTTCTTAATAAACTTTGTTATGCCAGTGGACCTAGATGTCCCCTGAAACCATTGTCCCCAAGCCCCTGCTACTCTGTCCCTCAAAGTGGGAAACTTGTTAGCTTTTCGTTTAGCCCAGTTGTGCTGACTTCCCCTGTAGTGGGGTTATCCTTCCGTTCACCTAAGATAATTCTTCTCGACTATCTACTTAGTGAATACCCTTCTCCCTCCCTCCCCACCCTTGTAATCATCAAAGAATGTTTTCTTCTGTGTTTAAATCTTCTCTTGAGTTCTTATAATAGTGGTCTTATACAATATTTGTCGTTTTGCAACTGACTAATTTCACTCAGCATCACGCCTTCCAGATTCATCCATGTTATGTTTCACGGATTCATCATTATTCTTTATTGTTGCATAGTATTCCATTGTGTGAATATACCATAATTTGTTTATCCATTCATCTGTTGATGGGCACCTAGGTTGTGTGCATCTTTTTGCTGTTGTGAACAGTGCTACTGTGAACATGGGTGTGCATATATCTGTTTGTATGACGGCTCTTATTTCTCCATGATATATTCCAAGGAGTAGGATTGCTGGATCGTATGGTACTTCTATTTCTGGCTTCTTAAGGAGGCGCCAAATTGATTTCCAAAGTGGTTGTACCATTTTACATTCCTAACAAAAGTGTCTAAGTGTTCTAGTCTCTCCCCAACCTCTCCAACATTTATTATTTTGTATTTTTTGGATTAATGCTAGCCTTTTGGGGATGAGATGGTATGTCATTGTAGTTTTGATTTTGTTTGCATCTTGTAATCCTGAAACTACAAAATGACATCAGGAAGTTTGGGAAAAGTAGCTTAGGAACTGTGACCATATATATGTCTAGGAAGTTTGAAAATTTTTTATTATCCGCTTGTATATGTATGCCCCATCTGTTTCCAGGAAGGATCAGAGATGACTTAAAATTAAAACACATGCATTCACACAGCTGCCGCCTCAGTATGCTGGAGTACTTGACTGAACTGTTGATTTCATTGCTTCATTTAGCAAACATTTATTGCGCCA